TGGCCTGAGAGGACGCCGCATGCACAAACACACGCACGAGGGTGGAGAGAAAGAGAGGCGTCGGAGTCCGGCGAAGCGGAGCTCTCCCGGGGAATGAGGAGGGCCATGCAGCCCGCGGACGTCGTCGTCGCCTCCACCACCGCCCTTCGTCGTATACGTACACCTACGCGGTGGTGGCCGGGCATCACGAAGAATTAGCGTGTCCGGCAATCGAATTATCGCCTCGGCTGTATCCCGTTGTCCACCTCCTACGCCTTCGCTGTCCGTATAACTCGGTCGGGCGTGTACACGCGCGGACAACACGTATACATATACGAAAGTATGCACACGGAGGTGGACAACGGAGGACGAGCACAAGGAAAGTATGCACGTAAGTGCGCATCGACACGTGCCGGCTTAATCGCTTCGGAAAGACGGCACTTTGGCAGGAGCTGGGGTCGAGGGGTGGGGGGACGCGTTTTGTCGCCTTGGGCCCCCTCGGCTAATGGCCGGTGGTTGATAACGAGGTTTGCCCGCACAGACGACGCTACACCTCGTTCCATCCCCCACCTGCGACTCTCGAGGGGCTTGCCGCAGCAGAGCGAGCGCTTGAGAGATGTTGACAGCGGCTTTCAACCTTACGGCTGGACGCAACTCCCACCACGCCCTCTTGTATACGTATATATTGTACATTTATATACGAGCAAGAAAGCTGGCGAGCAAGCGTATGCGAGGAGCTTGCGCGCGAGATCGACTTACGTGCTTAGCGGCGTGTTTGCATACGGAGTGCGCCTATACACGATATCGCAGCTCTTTTGTCCACTTTACGATGTGATATTATGTTATGCCTTGCTCGTGGTGTTATTTGGTTTTTAGAAAATCATACGTCACGAGCATAAACTTGAGTTGAGCAAAGATAACGAGGTTGTCCTGGATCATTGAATACTGTGTGTGTAACAAATGTGTTTGGGTACAATCCACCCCCAATTAAACGTATACTTGCACATTAGCAATAATTTTAGAGTCAGGTTTTAATAATTACCTGACCTTTCATCGTAATGATATTTAGTTCATATAGTAAGCCCTCGCGCTGCAGACAATTACCGAAGATTATGTAATTGTATCGATTAAATATATATATATGTAACGTTTAAGAGTACAGAATCAGCTAGTGACAAATTTAGTAATAAATGTGTGTGCAGATTTGTGTCTGATTCATTGGTAGTTTGTAGTCAAACACTTTTTCGTACGTGACATGTGATGATTCTTTTTAGTTATTTGTATTCAATAGAGTGATGGTAACAAATACGAATATAACGTGAAAAATTGTGTGCGTATTTTTTTTTGTTCAATAAGAACTGTATTTTCATTTATTTTAGTGTTGGACCCCAAAGTTTGCACACGCCCCTGTCACGCCTGTCAAGCAGAGAATTGCTGCTCGATAGCTTGAAACAGCACCACCACCACCGCCCTCTTCTCTTCCCCCCGTGTAGATGTCTACTAGAACCACCATCCCTTTCTTCAACTAACATTTGCCTTGCTCTTGTCCTCCCAAATTCGTAATCTCGACAAATTTGCAGATTGATTTCGACACTTTAACGCGCACCCGGGACCACCCTAGCGCTCAACAGCATTAATAGTTCAGACTGGGGATATTGAATTTTCATACATTATGGACACTGCTGCCACAATATTGTGCTCGACTGTTGAGAATTCATGTCGTTTTGTTTAACGCGTCCACCGATTGATTTGGTGATTTCAAGAATTTTTACATGAAGGATTAATCTGCAAAAGTATTTTTTTTTTTTATGATTAAGAAAAAAAAAATGTGTCTACTTCCAAACTAGTTTTGTTTCGTTAGTAATGTGATAAGTGCAAAAATAATACAAAAAATAGCCAGATCAGTTATTTTCAGTACTAAAAGTATTCTATTGTTGTTTTCTCCACTAACAAAATTACAAAAGTATAAAAAGTCAAGCTGCTGGGAACCTAAAGTATTATATTTTTAAAATTATTTTTAAAATTCCTGTAATAACAAAAAAATCTGTATCGTAATGGTAAGTGGGTTAAAAGAAAGGTAAAAGTAAGCCAAGCTTGTTGAGACTCATTTAACGAAAATTGGTAGCAGGACGTGGTTGATAATTTTTTTGTTTACTTATTATTAAAATAATATTTAAAACAAAAAAGTACATACCTTACAATAAGTGACGTATAACTAAAGCCTTCCTCGATCAGTACGTTGTCACATGGACACTCTGCCAGCGTTAAAGCATAAAGCATTACTGAAAACATAGTATTTTTTTTTAATTTTCTTCTAAAAGGCTAAACAAATGACATTTTATATTAAGTATAAAAACAAAGGTAAACGGTTGAAAAAAATAGTTACATTATGAGAACAACAATGAAGACTTGGCATCCATGACAAAGGGATAAGTAGAAATTTACCAATATTTTCGATAAACTATACATTATTCTCTGCTAAAAAATCGTGTCAGATTGACCAAAAAATATTATTTGTCATTTTCAGATAAAGTACCAAATGACACAGTACCTCGATCAAAATAAATACCACGTATAAAAGTATTGAACAAACTGAGCATCAGAATATTTGGTGATTATCAACGAACGACTTGTCTCCCTAAAATTGTTCTCAAGGACATGTACTACATTGGTTCTATAACTGCACGGTACAAAGTCCCATGTTTGCTCATCGCCAGCTAAATTTCGTCCAAAGCACGGACTCACCGTGTGAATAACGTAAAATACACGCGTCTTATCCTAAAATGACAAAAGCCTCGCTCGCAGCACCATATACACACCCAAGTTAACCCACGAGAAGCTCCAACCACGTCGTAAATTATCAGCTTATTCGTCAGAGTTTCTCCAAACGAACGCCATTAGATCGCCCCCTCCCCCCTAGCCATACGGACCTTTGAAACAATGATAATGCCTCGTTACGCTGCGTCCGCTCATTGTGCTCCGAAAAAGGCCATCCTTGCATTTCCAGTGTCGAGGACGCGGAAAACAAAAACCAAAACAGAAAGAAGGGGTACATATACAAGGAGGAATCCTGCACGCGGGGCTGCAGTCACGCGAATTAGCATACGTACACGCGGTCAGAGAAAGAGGAGGGGACGAAAGGAGCGACCCGTACCTATACGTGGGCGCAAGAAGGTGCCGGAGAGTGTGGCCTTTCATCCGCGCTAATCCCCGCGCGCCAGCCGCTCCCCGGCTAAATGAGGCGGTGGATTTGTTGGAAAGAGCTTTAGTTTCGAGACGTCGGGGGCTACGTTGCTCCGGCCGCGGGGAGAACGAAGGCGCACACGAGCGCGAAAGCTCGGCTCGCGCGACAACAATGGGGATTACGATTACCCGACGAAAGCGTCCACATCTGGGGCTTGTTCCCTTTCGAAGGGGGAGAGGGAGGATTCCGTTGGCTGCGGCTGGCGCGCTCGTCTCCTCTTAAACACTCGGGGTGCGTATTGCACACAAGCGTCGTGCAGCCACACGTGCGAGGAACACTACTATAATCGCCCGGCCTTCCGACGACTCTGCAGGGAGACGTACTTTTTTCTAGTCGAAAAGCTCAAAGGTGCAGGGTTTGACCAATATCTGCACGGACATGCTACGAAATGAGCAGGATGGAGCATAGAGTCCTTTTCAGACCCCTAATTGCCACAGGCTCGATTCGAGCAGTAGTGCCATTAATTCTCCGGAGCAATGATCCACTAGCTCGCTCTCCGGTCGGTTGCAAACGAGCCGAGGCCGACTAATGATTGCCAAATTAACCCTCATCCGAAGAGCAGGAAGGGTCTGCGAAATGATTTCGTCAGTGTCTGGGAGGCGTCGCGCCGACAAACGACGACGGACATGCCCGTTTTGGCGCAAAGTCGAGCGAGAGGCGCTCGGCGTGTAATAGACCGGCACGCGTCTGTATACATACATACATAAGGGAGCACCCTGACGTTGACTAACGACGGTATACATAGTATACGAGAGCGGCAAGAAGAGCAAACGCGCCACTGTATATATGTACACGTCTCCTCCACCGGGAGCCGCGAGGGATGGAGCTAACCTGTTGCACCACAGAGAGCACTTTCCCCTTCATCTCCTCCTCCTTCGATGAAGCGCCCGTCAAACAGTCGCACCACCGCTAAATAGAATCGGCCCCGTCTCTCTCTCTCTCTCTCTGTCCTTCCCTCTTGCCTCTCTTGCTCTGTCGGTCTGTCAATGTGACACACTGAGAGCCGCTACTTCGGGATAGGGCATGGCGTTGGTAGTGTCGATAAAGGGAATAAAAAAAAAAGAAAGAAACTATCTCCAGGTGATCAAACAGAGACAGGGGTAGTGGCAGCGGCGGATGTGGGCGCGGATTTGCGTTGTCGTCGCTCCATGGAGCGAGATATATTCACTGAGCGATGCTTTTCCCTGCCTCCCGTCTGCGTGTACAGGCGTTGACAAACGACTTAGTTAACAGCACGTTTTTTCCCCTATTTTGATAGTTTTGTCCCCACGCCCCTTTTTTTTACCAAATATTTTTGTTCCTTTTATTGTTGTTTTCAGTCAGAGTCGGTTAAAAGGGGCCTTTTTTTGGGTTCTACGGCGAGACTCGCGAAAAATATGTTTTTTCCCGCCTACGTGATGGATCGGACGGGGGGTATTTTCGCGAGTGGCGAAGTGGTGAAGAATGGCCCGGCTCTTTTTTTTCCATTTTCATAGTTGGCCATCACTTGCCGATGGATTGAAGTATTACTTGTGTACGCTTTTATTTACGCCCCTGCATGCAGTGCTCTTCTGTTGATTTATTTATAACTGGAATCAGGAAGTTTGAGCGTTCAACTATTGTACGACAACTGTATTATCTATGGATAAAAGTGTTTGTACCATAATAAAGCGTCTCGCTGACACAAGCTTTGTGTTATTCAAAGGAAAAAAAAGATCAAGAACAGTGTATTGTATTTTTTTTATATTGCATAATGAAAGATGATTTTATACACAACTGTTATTTTTTTATATTATTTTACAAAAAAACGTTGATTTAAAAAAATTTTTTTTTTTTTTTTTCATTACATGATTCAGTATTTATTCGTTAGAATAGCGAGCCTTCTAATTCTGGCGCTTCTTCTGTTAAACACTCCAATATTTTTAAATGAAAATTTTGAGCTAACATTGAGCCGTTTTCATTTGATTCGAAATATTTGGATACTCGTATGGCTTGTGATGCTTGTTCTCGCAAAGAATCAAATTTAATTTTCTTTTCATCGAGCTCGCGTGACTTTTCGAGCATTTCCGGTATCTTGCAGTCACCCTCGACGCCGTTCAGACAATCGTTTATTACGTCGTCTTCGCTCATCCCGTCTGTATCATGATGCTCCTTGTAAAACAACTGAAAATATTCATGAAAAATAAATCGCAAGGCCACATTTGTATATTATACTTTGTAAATAAGCCACATTATTTACAGCACCTCATTCAAGTTATCCAAGTAATAGCTATCTCCGGTCAAATCGTTGAAAATGTACTGCAGCAGTTTACTAGCCAATGCTTCGGCGTATTCAACGAGGACTTGGTGACAATACTCTTGGACATGGCTTGGTGCTCCTGAACTAAGACTCCTGAAGTCTTGAGACGAGAGTGCGACTTCATAACTGGTTTTGTACAAGTCGTTGTACGTTTTTTCTGAGAAATCAAACCAACGTTCAAACGCGTGATTTTTTATACGAGCAAGCGTACCCGACAATTCTTCTTTCGTCTCATTCACAGCCTAGAATAATTACGGAGGTAATATATTCTTGCAGCTTTCTATGCTATGATGTTTTTTATAAATTTTAAAAAGTCAGTCTGCGATACTTACATGGATATTGTTCACCATGAAAACAATAATTAATCCAAAAACTAATGGTGCAGGCTTCATTTTTAAACAATTAAGTTACAAGAGTTTAACAGCACGACAGATTTGAGACACTCGTTCTACGTACTGGATGTGAGGTTATTTTATAGTCACCAAAAGCACTTTTTTCTATTGTGTAAATAGTATTATCTAATCTACATCATCTGTCGAAAAAAAGTAACTTCGTCACACCTAAGCAAGCAGAAACTTGTTATTCGAGTGGCTTTTTTTACTTTTAGAAATCTCCAAATGAATGAAAGTTTCATTGGATTGGCTCGTGTTCTCTGTTGACAAACGATTTCGATTTTCAATTACTTTTTATGAGTATATGCCTCACTAAGTGAATAAGCTCGTTCAAAAAGGCTTCTTTTTAATTTACTTAATGAAATAATGTTATCTCTATCTGAGAACAAAGAGATTGACGTGCCACGAAAAATATTTTTTCAGTCACGAGAAGCTAAAAGTTTTCGCTTCACATGCCTCCATGGAGACCATTCAAGAATTACTCAATGATAATGAAAGATCATTCGACGAGATTGGAATTACCTAAAGAAATTAATGTGTATTTTATTGATCAAGCATTTGGAAAGTGGTGGTTGACAAAAATGATTTGATGGTATATCTTTTAAGAAGTAATGCAAAAAATATCAATTTAACAAGGTATGTTGAGGTGTTCAAGAAAATCAAGAGTGAAATGAATTTTGAAGTTTATTGGGTCATTATTCATAAAACCGAGAAAAAAATATTCTACTTTTTTAAGATAAATGTGTTCAGTTGATTAGTTGTAAGGTAAAATATTACAATCAAGCAAAACTAATCAGTAACTAATCGACATCAATTTCTAGAATCAATGTCTCTCGTACAACAATGGCAAAATAAACCAAATTGAAAGTGAAAAAAAAAAAAAAAAAATCTGTGCTGTTTGGTAAGACGTCTTTCAGTCTTGCACAATACAACCGACCTGCATCAGACCTCAAAACTCCTTCAGTCTAAGCGTGAAATTCGTCTTTTGTGGTGGCCACGCGTGAAGGCACGAGTGCTCATCTCACGGGAAACGACGAGCCTGGCGATGCGAAAAATTGTCCGATTATTCACGGAGCAAATAAAGACCCCCCGTTTCCAACTAGCGGTTTCGTCACTGCCGGGCTATGTGTGCTGGAGGAAAAAAAGAAGGAAAGGCACAAAAGGAGACCAAGGTCCTCCAGCGCGTCAATAATACCCGAGAAATGAAAAGAGGTCCGTGCGACGGACGAGCGGCTACTTGAGCACCCTTCGCTCGAAATCGAATCCCGAGAAGGGAAGACGAGGGAGGGAGTTTTCTTCCGCCTCCGCGGAATTAATCATCCGCCGGCGTCGTCTTCACTTGCGCCTTTCGCTTGCAGACCTCGCGGTTGTCCGACTCTCTCGTGTGCGCGTTGTATTACCTGACCCGTCTGTTTACTCAAGGATCCACGACGAGCTGCCTCTCGCTTATTATGCATCCGAGACGGAATTTTTTCGCCTCTCTCATTTTTCCCCTTTAAGTATTCGGTTTGAAAGATGGAGCTGGGAATGACGTGGGATCGTTGCTCGAGCCGCTTGTTAATTACTCGCGAGTGGAATTCAGTGGAATCGAAGAAACATACACAGCTAAGTCATTGTTGTAATTTAATCATGTAAGTTTTAATTTAACTACTAGCTAAATTTACTTATCTGCTTCTACACTACGATTCTGACGATTGCAATAGAAATGATGTAACTTCGGTAATGTGGCACTGAACCCATCATGCCGAAGATACAAATGTGATAAAACTGATAAGAATAGTTTGAGCTGTAAATTGTATGCGTACAGTTTGTTTGATCTTTAAGCTCGTCTATATATAACTCAATAAAATGACAAAAACCACCAGTCTCTATGAAAAATTTCCAAGATTTCACGAAACTCCTTAGAGTACTTAACGAAAAATTTCAAAAAACATTATAAAAATCCAAATACTTCAAAAAAATGCCAAAAGAATCATAACCTTTTATGAGATTTTTCAAAAGACATCAACGTAACTTACTGAGGATTACAGAAGATTTTTCGAAACATCTAATTGTGAATCCTAAAAGACTCCAAGAACAGTAGTTCCATAAATGAAAAAAAAAACCCGAAGGTCTCGGCTTTGTTGGCCGTACTGCTGACAAAGAGTGGAAAATGGCGAATGAAACAAGCTTCATTTGATGAATCAAAAAGTAGACTACCATATCCGTTTTTTGGAGCTACCTTTAGATATTTTAGTTTATCGTACAAAACCAATCATAAATTAACTTTTTACAAAATCTCAGGATTCATTACTGTTTGTGTGTTTCAATATTCACTCATCTGGGAAAAAGCAAGTACGACAAAAGGAACGGCGTACGCAAGCAAAAATATACTTCTAAAAAAAATGAGAAGAAAAGAGAAGAACAACTTACCGGCTGGCTGCATCGCTAAAAATCTCCTACTGCACACTTTTCGCCGTACACACTCCCGATTATATGCGCCTGGATCTGCAAAGTGCACACCTAAGATAAGACAATCAGTTCACGGTCGCGTTGCCGTCCCTACGAATGCCGAAGAAATGTGTCACCGGCAGCCCCCAACGCCACGACGTCAAGGACAAGCCCAGCCGAAATATCCAGTTCAGCATTGGCGCGGTTGTACCCTGGCTCCTTTGCCTCGTCCTGTCCTTTAATACCAAACGAAGCGAGCGATGAAAGGTCCCTCCCCCCATGTATTTTTGCATTTAATCCGATCCCCAAAACCGCCCTGGAATTCTTAATTTTCGGCACTGCGAGTGTTTCCGATTCGCAGAGAGAGATGCTGGCGTAGTCGGGCGATTCCCCACAACCGTGGACTCGACGTTCCGTGGATGAGACTCTATTGTCCGCATTACGTAATCCATAATACCATAATACCGTAATTCATATTCGCGCTGCATTGGCTGAATTTTGTTCATTCGTTTGAAATGTGTTGGGCAACCGACTGTGAAGGCTTACTACAGGAGAAGCATTGTTGAACACAATCCAAACTATCGTAATTCGAGTAAGTACGTCGTCGATGGGGAGAAATTTTTAATCGAAGGAGCAGCGGCATCGGCGTTATCTATGATAAGTGGACCAACGCAGAAACAGTTCCCTGATGCCAGTGAGTGGTACATGAGTTGAAACGAGAGGGATGCTCTAAGCAGGAGATTCGCACGCCGCTCACACTACTCCCTGACAGTCAGAACTAAATGGCCGAACAGCTGGATCCCTACTTTCTGTGTGTGTATACAAATGTACTCTTTACACCCACTATTTCACCTTTAATCAGGAATTACATCTCAACCCTAGGGGTGTCGTCGAGGGGATGAATGTCAAGAAGAAAGAGACTCGCCATTGATTCGCAAAGAGCTTTTTTTTCGTGTCTTTTCATGCTCACCCCTACGTTGGTCGAATATGTTATCAATACGGTCACGTCATTGAGTTTGAGGTGATCGAATTTTGATGTACAACTTTAGCTATCGTAGGCCAATTGTAATTATAATTTATGTTTTGTTAGACTTGTTTTTGCCAATAAATTGATTATCGATGTTCTAAAGTAGTAAAGTTAACAGACTACTGAGGGGGTCTCTTGGAGAGGAATGTTAAGTTCTAACAAATCTGAAGAGAGAAAAAAAAGGCAAAATTCCCGCTGAAAATTCATGAGACGACTGCATGCAGATGCATAAATTTTTTGTCGACCGCGGAGCGTGGACGCGCGTGCATACCGAAGGGGAGAGGGAGGACGGAGGTTACAGTCAAACAATCGCTGGAGTCAAGGTATGCATTGTCTCCGTATGTTTTTGAAAACTCGGATTTTTGCTTTCCAGGTCCCTCGTTTTGCTTTTTTGCTGTTCTCTTGTTCTTTTTGGGCTTGTTTAAAAAATTGAGTGCGTTTGGAAAAAGAGAAAAAACGTACAGAGAGCTCGGGTACGCGGAGCAAGAAGTTCAATCAGGCGTTGTTTTGCAGCTGACGCTCTTTGGTTGGTTTTTTAGAGGTACACGGTTTCTTAAATTTATTTTAAAAAATTGGATAAGGAATCATTGGATGCTGAAAGAAAAATATATTTGTTTAACTCGTAAAACGATGAAAAATTCAAAAGAGGATTTATACAGGACGTTAAAAAAGATCAATGTCTGGTTAAAAACGATTGAAACGTAAATTAGAAAAGAATAAGCTTATTCAAATATTTTTTTCACTCATAGTAAACTTTGAGAATATTCGTGATTGATCATCATTAAAAGCTGATGTGATCACCTCTTACAAAATAATTTTTTTAGCACTATAAAAAGCATCTTTGCTGACAACCCTAGTATTTTTTAAAGTAAAGCATCAAAAGTTACTACGTAATGGAATTTTCACAAAACTTTTCACTCAACCAGAATATAGTTGTTACCGAAATAACAAAGCCCCTCCGCTCTAATTGCTTACAGTATTTTCAATCAGACTTGTTTGTGAAAATTCAATTCATCCAAGAACACACGTACAACCGATTACTTTTCAATACACGAACCGATCGTTTACCAGCATTCGATTAACGATCAGACGTCGGACTTTGATCTCAACACCGAAACCTGGAACTATTATATCTCTTTGAGCTTCTTTTTCTTTGCTCGATACAAATGACTCCTCTGCGTGCGGTCTTTCACACAGGCCGGAAAAAACAACGGCAGAGAGTTTGCCGGAGAACAGTAGCGTCTAAGCAAATTGAAAGTTCCGCCTAAAAGGAAATACATTCGCAAATGAAAAAATCATGAAAGAGAGAGAGAGAGACAGGAAAAGTGATGCCCGCAGGGCTATTCAATCTGTTTGAATGTGAGCGGGAGGCTTCTTTGTGATTGCCTGCTTTGGCCAGCCCGTATAAGGATACGTCGAGGCTTGCAATGGAAAAATGGAATATGCACGAGATCTGCAAAATTGGTAATCGTACACGATACAGTTTAATACACTGGGTGATTTTTTTTTCAACATTCACATGAATGAACGATTTTCCAGAAAA